GAGGGGCGGCTACCTGGCGGGGCTCGGCCCACGATGGCGAGGACGGTGACCAGGAGGACAGCGCTCCTCATGGCTGAGGGCAGCGGAGTGGACGGCCCGCAGAGGCGGAGGAGCTTCCTCCCGCCGGCCGCCGGGGCTCTGTGGGAGCGGCAGAGGCCGTGCCCATTAGTGGCCGCCAGCGCACACGCGGTCTTCCGGGCGACGGGCCCGGTCATGGCCGCCGCGCCTCTGGCGGGGAGTGGGCGCCGTGTGATCGGAGAGCCGTGTCCATGGGGACAGCGGCTTCTGCGCCTTGCCGCAGGCTGAGTGAGGCACTGGGGGCGGCCAAGGCCGCTGGCTCACTGTCCTGGCCCTGCTCCAGGGCGTGGGCGCTCCCCTGCTGGGCCACGCTGTGCCAGTCAGAGCCAGTGGTCCCCCTCCGTGGACACACAGGGCAGTGACCCTCAGCCCGGCAGGAGCTCTCCTGTGAAGTTCTGATGAGCCCTACAACGTCTCTGGGTGACTGAGGAACTGAGAGACCAGTAGGGTCCGGCTTACCGATGACCAGGCTAGCCTGACGGTCACTTCGAGTGCAGATCTGGCAGTACCGGAGCCCAGACCGGAGGGCTGGTGTGGACCCAGAGGTCGGCAGAGGCCTGCCCGTAGGCTGAGTCTTGTCGGCAGTCCGGCACAGACTGGCCTTCTCTTTGCGGACCTCACACCGAGCCCGCATTGACGCCCCGAGGCCTTCACAGGCGTTTCACGGTGTGCCCAGGTCAGAAAGCGCCAGTGGCGCTGGCCGGCGCCGTGGCCCCACATCGGCCTAGACAGCGTGGCCACAAGCCGCGAGACGCTGGCCTAGGCGCGGCCGGGGACATGGCGCAGCCACGAGGCCACCCCGGCCGGCTGCCCGGGGTGCACGCTGGCCCTCCCTGCTCCACCGTGTAACTGGGCCAGGGGCCCGGCTCGAGGCCCGCGAGCCCCGGCGGCGCGGGAGCGCGTATTTGAGCCCAAACATGTGGCACTAAATAAACGGGGCCACCGAAGTGTAAGGGGGGGGCAGGAAAGGGGACGGGCAGGCCAGGTTCGCTGCCCAGAGGAGGGCGGGGCTGAGCGGAGAAGGGGAGAAGGGAAGGGTCTGGGAGGCGGGGCGAGCCAGGAGGCCTGGGGGGCCACACGGGGCGGGGGGCAGGTGCTGAGGCCGCGCCGCTT